CCTCTTCCGTACCGGCCAGTCCATTGATTCAATAATGTTTGTTGAAACTTAAAGATGTCAGGCAGAGGCAAAGACTGGACCAGCATGCCATTGTAGATTTGTACTGATTCAAAAATATTCATGGCATCAAAAAACATTTAATTTCTCGAGGAGCCTCTGCAGACAATTGGAAGGGAAATATCTCAGAAAACAAAGCACTCATTCATCCATTTTTATGGAGAGGACAGACCAACCAGGATGCTCTCTCCTGAAATCGTTTATACCTGTCACCTGCTGCCTGTAGCCAATCAGGGAGGAGCTCTGCAGCAGGTGGCATATCTGCCCTCGTTTGGAGCTGATTTGTACTCAAATGCACCTCCAAGTGTTTTATCAAAAACTCTCAAAAGTCTTCTTTTCATTTTTATTTGTCCCGCTCATGGTACGCAAAACCAAATGTACAATAATTGCCACAAAACATGACTCTACCATTGAGCGAAAAGGAGCAGGGAGAAGAATAACATCTTATGTGACCTGCCCCTTTCTAAAAAAAACAAAATAAATACAAATAGATGGTCTGCCCTTCATAATATATATATATATTTTTTTCACAGCCAAACATAACAGTATCTTAGGGATGCGCCTCAATGCGTATGCAAACAGGAGCATCAATCTCATTACGCCAATCCTGATTGGCTGGTGATCTTGACGTCAACGTCAGGGAATCCACCCACCCTTTAAGTAGCTTGCGCTACGACGCAGCGTAATTCAAAATAAGCACCTCTTCTCGCTTCGCCTTAGCAAGAAGGGCCGTCTGGTGAGACATCTCACTTCATGTTACTCTGAGAACTGGGGTTACGTAAGTAACCTATAGTTCTCATTCATAACACTCCGTTCGATGTCTCACTATGGGATATTGAAACTCCCGTATTGCTAGACATGCTTATCTCGAAAATCACCAAAACAACCAGAACTTAACAGGTAGAACCCTGTCTCAACACGGGGCCCAGCACTGCGCAGGCCACACTTGGAACATCTAGCCTGTAAAAGCGGACAAAAGTGAGCGGTGAGGACCAGCTCGCTGCTGCACAGATGTCTTGGATGGAAACAGCCTTGAACAAAGCCCAGGATGTAGCCAGTCCACGAGTAGAATGAGCACGCAGGCCCGTTGGTGCCTGCAAACCCTGACTCGTATAAGCCAGAGCAATCGCTTCCACAATCCAGTGGGAGAGCCGTTGCCTGGTAACGGGCTTGCCCTTCTGAGGGTTAGCCCAGGATACAAAGAGTTGGTCATTACAACGAAACTCTTTTGACCTATCCATATAGATGCGTAAAGCACGAACTGGACACAGCAAATTCGGCCGCTGTTCCTCAGAGGAACACAGCGGCGGAGGAAATGCCACAATGTCAATGGGGGTACATGAGCCAACCACCTTAGGTATAAAGGCAGGGTTGGGCTTCAGCAACACTCTCGTTTGCCCCGGGGCAAACTGAGTGCATGAAGGATGTACAGAGAGCGCATGAAACACACAAAAAAAATACTTATTTCCCACTTGACGGTTAACGGAAAGAAACAAAACAACACCAAAACATCACATGTATAAGGAAAAGAAAAGTGCAACACCCTCATCTGAGTCCTACTGGAGAAGAAGGTGGAAAGCGACGCATGATGATAACAATAACAACAATAACAATGACATAATCTAAACAGACAAATGAGTTAGTGAAGTTATTTAACAAGTGGACACGCCTTGCTATGGAAATGACTCACATTAAAGCACTTTAAAGGGGAATGCACTTCCTAAAGGGCAGCTCTGGGAATTGTAGGACCTCCAGAAACACAAGAAAGAAAATATTTATAAAACAACACACGTTTCTACCTGGTAAACAATATGATTAGAAGAACAAGAGTAATGCATACCCCCTCTGTGCAAACACGAATATATACTCAAGGACATTTTATAATTGTAGTGTAGAAAATAATCTCCATGACAAGTTAAACCCTATTTTTAGAGACAGCTAAAGCTTTACACATGGGGATTTAAAATGAGGTTTATTTGCCAGTTGTACTTTGATTTAAGTTGCACATATGTGATAATACACTTCACACGTTATTACTGCATTCATTTATATATGAAACATATTGGCCCTTTTTAAACCATAAAAAGGCACATTTGTTTTCCTCAGTCATTTCTGGTTTTGTTCTCTACCTTTTAATGAAAAGATGAACGAAAGCTTACACACATTAAATATGTGAAATCATGAAATGAAGTTTACTGTGCATATTGTTTCAAAACCTACTTTGTGTAATTGAGCGAAGGTAAACCACACAGCGAGTGGAGGTGTAACATCTTTCACACATCAGTAATCAGAGGACATCAAAAACATGGACGATTTTAGTTTCCCCCGAACCCTCTTCATCTTCACATTGTGTTTTCTCCTGGAACTAGTGGTTAGATTTCAGTGCCAGGCAGCGCACTCTTTACTGTTCTGGCATTAAATGAGTTACACCAAACCAGCAGAGAGTCTCATTCACGTCCATGTAATTACAATCAGAGTTGGAGTGTCTCTGAATGAGCCAGAGGATAGCAGCGCCTTCACAAAGCTCCGACGACTGAGGAACAGGAGAAATTAAGCCCTCTCCTTTCAAACCCTCCTGTTCTTATTATGCACCAGCTATCTCACTGCTTTTGTGCTCCTATAATTGCTTAATCTGAGCAGCGCTGGGGTAAAATACTTTGTGGGCAGGCAGCATTGCTTTGACTCACGCTCCCAAAAGGGAATTGCAGCTAGCTTTAATTCTGAAACTCCCAAATGTGGTAATGACCATTGTCAAAAGGGATTCACAGTTTTTCTGTCAAAGCTGCGGTTATATATATAATACAGTATGCTCGATCTGATTTGATCGCCTTTTTAGGTCCTTAGTCTTCTTCTTGAAAGCCTTTTATGGATGGTGGGTGTGGGGAATGGGGTTAGGGTTCATTTGAAAACTCCCACATGTGGTAACAACCATTGTCAAAAGGGTTTCAGATCTCTGCTAGTTTTTCTGTCAAAGCTGCGGGTATAAATACAGTATGATCAATCAGTTTTATCGCCTCTTAAGGTCCTTAGGCTTCTTCTTGAAAGCCTTTTATGGAGGGTGGGTGTGGGGAATGATGGAGGGAGAGTGTTGTTTATCATTCTGTGTAGTTTGCTGTTTATAATGGGCCTGGGCAACACTTAACTAGAATGAGGCCCATCAAGGCGGCCCGATAAGGACCGAGGGATCCGCTCTAGTCAATTACTGCAAAGTGCCAAGTTCAACTCAGCGGGCCCTTTATGAAGTACACCAGCTGAGTAAACAAATTAATCAACAACACAACATGCGGCCCGGGGCAATCATACATCAGGCAGAGTGATCGAGGCTGTCTGCACCAGGAAATAAAAAGGTCCCACCGTTAGAGACGAGAAACCACGCAGGACTCATGAGAAACCATTACACTTCCTCAGACTCTAAACGGTGTGTGTTGGCTCCTCACACCTCGACACACACCGGCTGTAGAGGGGGAAGCTATGTTTTGGAGTCACGGCTCTTTCAAAGTACTGCTGCGGGGTACTACAGCGGAATGATATCTATCTTGTTATTGATCCTCAGTCCTCAGTGATGTCGTGGCCCAAAGAAAAACATGAATTTCCAAAGGTGGAGATTTCAATTCTGTTCGTATAAACGGACGGATGAAGTGTGTCTTGATGACATTCTCCTAAACCGTTAAGAAAACGATGTATAAGCTGAAAATTGGACGCAGGGATTGGCAGGTGTTTCTTAAGTCATGAGGATTACATGGTTTACACTCTTTAGTTTTCCTTATCTTACAATGACAGATGTTCATGTTCAAATAAACGTGCATGCATGAGCTTTCCGCCATAAGAGGGAAAACTGCAGAGAGATTTTGTGTGTGTGTGTGTGTGTGTGTGTGTGTGTGTGTGTGTGTGTGTGTGTGTGTGTGTGTGTGTGTGTGTGTGTGTGTGTGTGTGTGTGTGTGTGTGTGTGTGTGCATGTGTGTTTGCATCCATTAGTGTCATGATTTGACCTTGAAGTACTCCGATATACAACAACCTAGTTTTGTGTCATCTTCAGCCTGTGTATGGGTCAGAGTATAATCAATACAGTGTATTGGTATGTGCTGCACCACAGAGAGAAGTGTGTGTGTTTTCTAACATGCATTTTATAGCCTACAGTGACAGCCTATTTCTGCCCTAACGCCTAATAAAGTGAATTCACTTAGAAATCGGAAAAATAATGAATAAATTCATCACTAAAACAATAAAATATCCAGTATTTACGTTTTGAATTAATAACAGAAAAAGTTAATAAATAATTGTGTATTTACTAACCTACATTCCCTCTTTGCTAAATGTTTTTACTAATTAAATATATTTTTCCCAGCTGGTGCACTTGTTGTTTATCTTTTGCATAATATGCTGCTGAGGATATCGTGGACATGTCTTTGAAAACAACGAACACACAACAAATAAACTATTCATCATAATCCTTCAGCTCATCAGTTATTCGTTGGACGACTGAGAGATTAAATAAAGAGTAATTGGAGTTGCTTTGACCAAAATGAAAGCATTTACTCCAGCTGTCAGTTTGATCTAAATGCATTAATAATGGGTTCTTAATATGTGAATGAGATATGTTCCTTTAAAATGTATTTTCAGATTTGATTCATGAGGCTTAATGGTTTAATTTCCTCTCCAAAGTATTTTCTCTCCGCTGTATTAGGCCAATCTATATTTTGATCAATGGGAAACATTAAGAGCTACTTTTAAAGAGTTTAATACTTAGTTTTTTGGGTATTTTGGTGGATAATAGACAGAGTTCTGGTGAAGCAGCATTGATTTATCTGCTGTCTGCTTTGGAGGTTGACTCTTTTGGTTTCAGAGGGTCGTCCTCAGCTTGTTTTTCTGTTTTCTGTGTCTCCAGTTACCGAAATGCACGTCTCGGTGGCGTTTCAGTAACTCACATCGTTGTCTGTGTTCAGATCTTCCGGAGGTGTTGGCTGGTTTTCAAGAAAGCTTCCAGTAAAGGACCGCGGCGGATAGAGAAATACCCAGACGAGAAGGCGGCGTACTTCAGGACCTTTCACAAGGTACACACACACACACACACACACACACACACACACACACACACACACACACACACACACACACACACACACACACACACACACACACACACACACACACACACACACACACACACACACACACACACATACATACACACATACCATGTATACATCACTTCAGGGGACATTACATTGACATTAACCAACACATGCCTAACCCTAAACCTAACCAAGTCTTCTTTATGGGAGGCGAGTCCCCACACGTGACTGTGTAAACAGATGTAGGTCCCCACAAGTATAGTAATGCTAGGCCACACACACACACACACACACACACACACACACACACACACACACACACACACACACACACACACACACACACACACACACACACACACACACACACACACACACACACACACACACACACACACACACACACACACACACACACTTTATAGAATCCACTATGATCTCCATTTGTCTTATCTATTGATTTACCTTGTCAATACTGCACAGCATTAGAGCTTCAATAGTATTGGAGCTGGAATGATAAGTCAAATATTCAATTAGTTCATTGACAGAAAGATCATCTGCAATTATTCTTATGATCAATACAATCTCCCTAGTCTCGATTTAGCTATCCATAACATGTCGGAAAACACTCAGAAAATGCAAACAGTTTTCAAAGTGACTTGATCACATCTGGAATAAAAACATTAAAGGAATCAGCCAAGAGTTTCATTTAGCCATTTGGCCGACTGGTGATTTAATTATCTTTAGCTGATGAATGTGACATCAATGATCCCCGACCAAAAATGATTGCCCTTCATTGTATTAATGCACCAGATGAATGATCTTAAAACATCCTCTGTGCCACTAAACTAGCCGATATATGTGACACATCTTTGCCAAACGAAACAAGGTGTGGTTTACTAAACTGCTAACACTTTCCCACCAAGAGCCTTGTTTTCATCTTCATATAAAACGATGTAAATCTGTCCGTTGGCCCCAGATGATGGAGTTAAGAATCCATTAAGACACATTTTTGAAACTTTATCTTCTCCTCCAGGGATTTTTGAAAGCAATAATCCAGTGTATAATATCTCTCCCCGCCTCTTAAGCCCTTTGAAATTCTCCAATTATGGCTCATTATCGTGGAGAGAGGAGATGATGTTAAAGGATAGCACCGTGAACAGTATCGAATAGTAATGAGAGGAGATAAGAGCAGATGAGAGGGGTCTCTGACACCTTCGGGGCTTCAGTCTGCCATCATGTAATTATAGATGAGGGGATTTCTCAAAAGAAACATCCTCAGTCTGCACACTGGTACATGATGTTAGCATCCCGTGCTACGCTATCAAGGCAAGTTTATTCATATAGCAGCTTTCAACACAAGGCAATTCAAAGTGCTCAGACATGCATCTTGGGCCTAAACCATTCAATGCTTTATGAACCAGCAGCAGTATTTTGAAATCAATTCTTTGACAGACAGGAAGCCAGTGTAAAGACTTCAGAACTGGACTGATCCACTTTCTTAGTGTTATTGTTTTTACATATTTGTATTGAGCATTAAAAGTAAAACATATACGATTACAGAATAAGAAAGGGGCAGAAACATAACTTTCAGTTTTCTATTTTAAACATCCCACCGTCCATCCCCACCCCGCCTCGACCTCAGGTAAGAAACTAAATTAAGCACACAAATAATAAATAAATAATAAGGGAAAACTGTAAGCAAAAATATTCTTACAATAAGTGTGGGGGAAACTTCTGAAGCAATTGGAAACAGGACTTAGAGAGACACGAGGAGAGCTGGAGCTTTGATGGCAAACACTGACGGTTTATTTGGAGTTACGGCCGGAGAATTGACGAGACATGTGGTGCGTCACGAGGTGACACAGCGGTTGACAAACCAATTCTGAAGAACTCTTTCTGCAGCTCGAGGTTTTAACTAGTTCAGAGTGTAATAATCAACATTCTTCATCAGTGAGACTAAACATTATGGACCCTGAATCTATAGAGCTCTCGTCCATAGGAAAGAACGTGCGTCAGGGAACCTTCGTCCCTGAACAGTAACCTACCTCATGGCGGCTTGTGCTCGGTCACAGACTGGCAACAACAATGCGCCCAAGCTGCCCCTCCTTAAGAGAGATAGCAGCAATACCCAAGCTGCCCCTCCTTAAGAGAGATAGCAGCAATACCCAAGCTGCTCCTCCTTAAGAGAGATAGCAGCAATACCCAAGCTGCTCCTCCTTAAGAGAGATAGCAGCAATACCCAAGCTGCCCCTCCTGAAGAGAGATAGCAGCAATACCCAAGCTGCCCCTCCTTAAGAGAGATAGCAGCGATACCCAAGGCCGTAGAAAGGAGACAGTGAGAGGAGAACGTTATGAACTGTGTCGAAGGTTGACTACCTAAGCAAATGATTCCCTAACAATAAGAATAATATGAACCAAAAGGACTGTCATCTGATCTGTTACCAGAGTGTCTATGAAATATAAAAACGGGCTCCGTATTGTGTTAAAGTTCTTTAAGAGAGAACCTCAGTTTTTCCAACTTCACATTGTTTAGAACCTCCTGGATCCACTGAACATGAGATGGGGGCTCTAATAGATTTATTAGTCAGTATTGTGAATGAAGTGCCTTCCTGCAGACTGCATCAAGCTGTCATACAGTGGGGCAAAAAAGTATTTAGTCAGCCACCAATTGCGAAGGAGTGGCTTCGTAAGAAGCATTTCAAGGTCCTGGAGTGGCCTAGCCAGTCTCCAGATCTCAACCCCATAGAAAATCTTTGGAGGGAGTTGAAAGTCCGTGTTGCCCAGCGACAGCCCCAAAACATCACTGCTCTAGAGGAGATCTGCATGGAGGAATGGGCCAACATACCAGCAACAGTGTGTGAAGACCTTGTGAAGACTTACAGAAAACCTTTGACCTCTGTCATTGCCAACAAAGGGTATATAACAAAGTATTGAGATGAACTTTTGTTATTCGCCAAATACTTATTTTCCACCATCATTTGCAAATAAATTCTTTAAAAATCAGACAATGTGATTTCCTGGATTCTTTCCCCCCATTCTGTCTCTCATAGTTGAAGTTTACCTAGGATGAAAATTACAGGCCTCTCTCATCTTTTTAAGTGGGAGAACTTGCACAATTGGTGGCTGACTAAATACTTTGTTGCCCCACTGTATGTGTGTGGCTCCCAGAAGTATCTCATACATACAGCGCAGGAGTGAGCGGTGAACACACACAGCTACATCCAGATCTCTCAGGTCTTCTGGTCAGCTCTCTGAGTCAGAACTAAACACAGAGAAGTTCAGTTACTATGCTCCAAATATCTGGAACAAACTCCCAGAAACCTGCAGGTCCGCTGCAACTCTGACTACTCTTAAATCCAGGCTGCAGACTTTTCCTTTTTGCCGCTGCTTTTAATTGAACTATTCACATCTCACACTGCACTGTAACTTTTATTCATGTGTTTCTTTCTTCTCTTCTTTGCGCCATTTTCTCAATTTGTTTCGTTTTTGTAAAGCACATTGAATTGCCTTGTGTTGAAAGGTGCTGTATAAATAAACCTTGCATTGGCTTACATGATGTTAGCATCCCACGCTGCTACGCTATCAGTATTGTGAATGAAGTGCCTTCCTGCATCATGCTGTCATATGGGGGGTGCTGTGTGGCTGTACCCCTCCTCCCAGAAGTATCTCACACACACAGCGCAGCAGTGAGCGATGAACACACACATGCACCAGTGCTCCTCGTAATGCATCGCCACAAAGATCAAGAAAGGTCCCGTCCGAGGGCTTCATTCAACGCTGCGCTGCTCTGGGAGGGAATAGGCTGCACTGCTGGCTGATTTACACAATCACCACAAAGGGGATTGGCTTTATGTCGTTGTTGTTTCTCTCTCTCTCTCTCTCTCTGTTTATTTCCCTGTGCCCTTTCCTCTGTCTTAGAGGCGCCGGGCCACTCAGTAAAACAATCCCTAGAATATTTGTAGCTCCTGTAGAAAAGTTGTTTTTCTGTGAGCTCTGCAGAGATGGAGCTGTGTTTAAATGCCTGAACAGAGGATGGTTTTAGTTACACTATATTAGGGTGGCTGGTTAACTTGTTTAGTTTGGAGGGAAATATCTCAATAAATATTAGAGGGATTGTCATTTAGATTTCCACAGACCTTCATCGTCAAAAGTGGATGGATCGCAAGGACTTTTACGACTAACATTTTGACATTTATGCTTTTTATTGACACTAGAAGCTGATTGTTTTGTCTTTTATCCGAGCTACTTCACACGCTTCACTTCACCTATACGGCGGTCAAGTCGGAATCTAATTGGATGAATGATTGTCAAAAAACAAGGACAATAATACATAAAGACAGTAACCATTTTAATTGGATTTCTCGACGTCTATCGGAGGGATTGGCATGCAATTTGATACAGACATTCATCTTCCCCTTCGAAACATTACTGTATCGACCCCTTCATTTCTTCTAGCACCTTTATCAGGTAATGTCCAAAACACCTTGGATCACGACTGAATACTTGCTGAACTAACGTCATTCCCTCGTCTTTTATATCATCCTCAATCCATGATGTGCTGGTTTAATAAAAATAAACGTCTTCTATGTCAAGCGTGATGTTGCCTTGACATCAAATGACTCATCAACATGTATCAGCCCAGGTATTTCAATCCCGAAAAAATGACCTGCCAACGTCAAGATGTTATCATCGTCACTGTGTGCATGTGGACTGAAAGCACGGCTGTGTGCCGAGTACACTTTTTGATATCAAATTTGACGTACACCTTTTGAAAAGATGGAGGAGAGGAGAGGAGATGAGGAATAGGTCTCATCACAAATGATTCACTTTACTCGGACTCTAGCGCCTCGGGCCAGGAATGCACCCAAATCTCTCTCTTAGACACACACACACACACACACACACACACACACACACACACACACACACACACACACACACACACACACACACACACACACACACACACACACATGCACATCTTCACACACACAGGCAGAGATGAGAGGCTGTATTCATGGCTCAGAAGTGGATGCTTGCTTTGTGTCAGTTATATGTATGAGTCTGCCCGAGGATAAGAACACAAGGTACCGTTTCCTCACAGGGGAATAAAACATCCACTTCTCATATAAAATATATATAGATACTATCTTTAAGGTGGCTATCCTTCAATATCCATATCCTGCTCGCACTTCACTAAGTATTAGCTCTTTGTTAGCTGAATGCTGAGCACAGAAGAAACGTGTTATATCTAATGATATGGAGCACATAAACGTGTAGTCCACATATGTTGTGTGTGTATAGGGTCTTTTATCTTTGGACCTTTACAAAATGGGCACTGAGCCCAGCTAATTCATTCCCAACAGGCTGGCAACAAGCCCACAGTTAGCGCACAATGGACAACAGTAATGTAATGGGCCTTATCTCCCAGGCAGAGCGAACACACAGAGGACCGTCGAACAAAATGGCCTGTAAATGCGGGGGATATTCAATTAAATGTAATCTTCTTCTTTTTTTTCATCCGCAATCAATCTCCTGGTAAAGTGATTCGGATGCTTTTGATCGCCCTCCTCTCCTCATTGACTGGAAAACCAGTTTCAAGGACAGGAGGCTGCTTAAACAGCAGCTGCACAATTACACACTGTGTGCATCGGGTCACATTCATTCAGAAAGTGCTTTTAGCGATACGTTGTGTTGCTTTCTGTCATCAGCAGAAAACGGCTAATATTTACTTCCTTTCCGTTCCTACCTTTTTATGCTAAGCCTTTAAATACTACACTTTCAGCAAAGTCAATGCAAGATGGAAATGAAGTCTCTGCTGCTGTTCATAATGTGCTGCCTCCTCTCTCTCTCTCTTCCTCTTTAGATCACTGAGCTCCATAACGTCAAGAACATAACCCGGATGCCGCGGGAGACAAAAAAACACGCGGTGGCGATTATTTTCTGCGACGACACATCCAAGACGTTCGCCTGTGAATCAGGTGAGTGAGGAAATTAGGGAAGGACTACTATATGTCTTTGTTTTGCATGCAAACACAAGAGGCTGCATGAGAAAAGTTTGTCAAGAAGCGGAGGAAGACTGAACTCCAGTGAGAGGTGAAAGAGGCAGTGGAGAATTGGAGTTTAGCCAAGTGTTGCTCATTTGCCGCCATATTAAGAAGTGGGAGGATCCGTTCCGAAATATTGATTTTCATACTGCAGGTATATGAGAAATGATATTGGCCGTTGTTTACAGTGTGTTGCAACGGGTTGCAACCCAATTATGGACTGTAACAATCGAGATTGCATCTAATACGTGGATAGGAAGCCAAAGAGGCACATGATTGTATTCGTTAAGGTGAAAATAAATGGAGCCGGGTGGGGAGGATAAGGAGGATGAACCTTAATGTGACGGGGTAAACTTCTCCATCTTAAAGGGCCCCTATTATACTGTTCTTCCTCAATATATCACAGGTCTCAGATATATACAGAGCCTGTCTCTGATTGGCTGAAACACCAAACAGATCATTGCAGCATTACCCATAATCCCCTCTGTTTCAGCCCTGTTTCCAAAGTGCTGATTCTCTGTCTGTTACTTTAGATGAAAATAAGGAGCCCCTCCCCACGCCCCTCTGAGAGACATTTGGTTACAAAGAACTCAATGGTGCTCTAGGAGGAGATTCAGGTGATAAGGGGGGGGGGGGGGGGGGGGGTTACCTTGGTTGCTGATTGGCTAATGGTTACACAAGACAACACATCGTTATGACATCATAAAGTGGCCAAAATCTGATCAGCTCATTTTCAGACAGGTTTTTATAGAAATGGATCAAAAAGAGAGAATCTTTGTTCCTGAAACTTTCAGAGTCTCTTTCCACAGAGGGGACACATGTTGATGTAGAAGAGACATGGAGAAGAGGGGACACATGTTGATGTAGAAGAGACATGGAGAAGAGGGGACACATGTTGATGTAGAAGAGACATGGAGAAGAGGGGACACATGTGATGTAGAAGAGACATGGAGAAGAGGGGACACATGTTGATGTAGAAGAGACATGAAGAAGAGGGGACACATGTTGATGTAGAAGAGACATGGAGAAGAGGGGACACATGTTGATGTAGAAGAGACATGAGGAAGAGGGGACACATGTTGATGTAGAAGAGACATGAAGAAGTGGATTTTGCGCATGAGCGTGGTAGTCGATAAACATGAGGCGAGATGTTATTGACCTCAGAGTGGTGCACTCTCTCTGTCCCTTGGCTCATAGCCAGGCACAACCCCCTCCTCTTCACACCACCATATGGATGGTTCTATCACCCTGCATCAATGACCTCCCATTGACCTTCACTTCCTGGAAGCCCTTTACAGTTACACCCCTCACGCCTCACTACCTTATGTCAGCATATGTACACAAATACTAATTCAACATTTTCTACTTTCTTGTTTATTTCCAGTCTTTAATTTTCATTGTGCAATGCCATGTCTTGTTATGCTGCTGCAACACAATCATTAACATCAAGAAACACTTGATGTTAATGATTTCTATGGCTCTGTTCTGGTGTTGTTAACCCTAACATGGTTTTCAATGTGGACATGCACACAGACACATTTGTTTCTGGAAATCTTCCCCCTGGACAGAGTTTTACAAAAGCTCATTTTAAGTGACCTCACACACTGTGTGTGTGTGTGTGTGTGTGTGTGTGTGTGTGTGTGTGTGTGTGTGTGTGTGTGTGTGTGTGTGTGTGTGTGTGTGTGGTGTGTGTGTGTGTGTGTGTGTGTGTGTGTGTGTGTGTGTGTGTGTGTGTGTGTGTGTGTGTGTGTGTGTGCGCACAGACCAACACACAAAGAAATATACAATCACAAACACACCTGTGTGCATGGAGACGTGGCTCGAGTCCAGGACCAAATGAGAAGCAATTGTAGTGGAAACATTTGTATTTTAAAGGCTTTATGTGACTATAATAAAAACTAGAGAGACCTTATCTCCATGTCAGTCGTCCCACTGATGTGCGATGTCAAATAGTTTGTATCTGAAACTCAACCTGTCAGATGGAAAGTCTTAAACGTGTCTAAAGTCCTAGAGAACCAAATAACGATGAGGTGTTGACAGGTTTTAACAGCAATAAAAAACATAATTAGGCCTCATGGTGATCTCCTGATATATATATATACACTTAAAATAACTTGCGATGCCTTCACCCAGGCATGTGCTGTCAAAGACACACGACACAAAAGACGGTAACAGATCTGACATTTCTTGACAGGTGTGTGCTTTGGAGATAAAGAGAGTGTGACCTGCAGAGAGAACAAAGCGTCATCTGCATACAGTGTTATCTTTGAGTATCCTGATCACATGTATCCTCACTCCTCTTCTCTAACACTAACGGAGCCTACACACGGCGGCGTGCGTTGCCGCTTGGCGGTGGGCGTGTCTTGAGCTTGGGGAGTCAACGCGACCAACAACCAATCACATGAATGTCCCGCCCCGGACATACAAAGCAAAGCATTCATGCTACATCCATGCTGGCTAAATATACTGTCTATGCTTGCTAGCTGTCCATTCAAACGAAGTACACTGGATATAAACTCCCCAAACAGGCGAACACCTACCAGTTTCACCCACTGTCTCTGCCACCTCCCCCCATGCCTGGCTCCTCCGGTTTGTATCCCTGTATGTAAAGAGGGACTGGTCATATACCGGGTGATTCCCTCCCTCAATTTTTTGACATATGGGAAATAACTGCAGTCTGGCTCTCCCAACATACACGCGGTTTGATTGGCTAGCGCTTGTACTGTCAGATTTGCATATGCGGGATTTGATTGGCTGACGCCTCCGTCGAGGCGGCAAAAGTAGAACATTGCTCTACTTTTGCAGCGAGCACCACGAGAGAAGCTACACTTTGCTCCCACAATGCAGTTCGGCAAATCGTGACGTCACCCCATTCAAAGTGAATGGGCAGAAACGTTGAAGCGGCAACACACGCCGCCGTGTGTAGGGGCCGTAAGCACCACTCAATCCTTTCCCATCACACACCTACAGAAACATCCTCCCTCCTCCTACCATATTCTTCATGCACGGCACATCAACTAGCGAGGCTGATGAAGTGTTTGTTTAGCCGAGTTTCCACTCAGTGGTCTCAAAAGTGTGGGAGTTTGGAGTAGGGATGCATACCGGTATTACCGAAATACCGGTTACTGGTGGCTACGGTATACCGTACCGAAATCAGATCCGGTTTCGATACTTTAAAAAAATATATATAGATATTTTTTTAAAAGTGAGTCCGTGGCCCGTGATGGCGGGTGTTATAAATTAGATTGCATAATCGTTTTTCTTCATATTTTATGTATCTTTCATTGTTTGTTCAACACTAGAAAGGTAAAAGTCCCACAAATGAACTGTGATTGTTTTCTCTCACCAGTGAAGGCAAATGTTGATTTTAAAGATGAGATTTGTTTGTTTGTGCAATGCCGAGATCTCATGACCTTTATTCTATTATGTATTTGTTCTCTAGTCGAATCTCAGGTTTAACATTAATTATAACGGTGCTATAACGGTCTGTTTGCATTGACAAGATCAAGGTGTGCTATTCACGCGGCACACCTGATGTGTTATAAAAGATATTCCATAATCGGTTTTCTTCATATTTTTAATCTATCTTTCATTGTTTGTTCAGAACTAAAAGGTCCAAGAAGTCCCACAATTGAATTTAATATTCATTTGACATGTTAACTATATCGTAAAGCGCTTCATGGGAGTAATTGTGGGATGATACATTTTCAAAGTATCACGATATGTATCGGTTGAGTATCGGTATCGTTCAGTGGTATCGGTATCATAAAAAAGTCAACGATATGCATCCCTAGTTTGGAGGCATTCAGAGGCCATGGTAACTCTGAATGAGACGAGCTGAATCTTGGGAGGCATGGGCGAGGAGTTAGAGTGCAGAGCTGCTGCCTGTAAGTGTGTGTGTGTGTGTTTCTGTTGTGTGTGAATGAAGTGCTTCAGGCAGCGGCAGACCTTTCTTTCACCCTGCAAAGTTGTGTGTTTCTGTCCCACTGGACTCTACAGCTGATCTGAAAAACAGGCTGTCACTAAATCCTAAAGTGAGGAAAGTAAAAAAGACCGAAAAGATATTTCCCTCCAAACTAAACAAGTTACCAACCCTAAAAAGTACACAATCCTGCATGGATTTGATGGACACAGAAACATGGTGCTGCTGTTTCAAAATGCGCCTCTGTACACATCACTGGACATGGTGACATTACCCAGAATTCCCCTGGGCTTTGAGCTTCAGAAAGATAACCAAATGCCTAATTTCATCCTCCAGTAACTCTCACCAAAAGCTCACAGAAGACAATTGGAGAATCTTCCACTCTGTAAACACCGTTTTGTTTCTAAATCAACAGGAAGTTGAATTGATATTCACAAACAACAAACTGCCATGCAGACTCGATTCAGGGAATTATCATTGGTCTCCACTTAGCCTCCAATTAAAGCATTCAGTCTCACAATGAATGCCCTCCCACCTTTAGGTGCCAGCTGTCACATGTTGTAGATATAACTCCGGCTCACTTCAAAATGAGTTAACAATAGAGCTGCAGGGATGAGGCCACTAATCCATTTGTCAAACGGTTTTATACAACATAGCAGAATATGTCAGCCTCTTAAGAGTAAAGTTTGACCCTGATTGCTATCATGATAAAGTGAATATCTGGCATGCAAAGCTTCGTATGAGCATCAAAGCAAGCAAAGATGACATGATGTAAACCAGGGGTGGGGAACCTCCGGCCTCCGGGTCGTATACGGCCCGCGAGACCATTTGATACGGCCCTCGATGTAATTTATAAATACACGCAAAAAAGAAAGAAATTAAAGAAATCTAGACCGCAAAAGAATTAAACAAGCGAGTACCTGTTTTTCCTTGCTAAAATCAGGGTCATTGAACACAACACGAGCCTAACGTGTCATCACGTGGGCTGCTCCGGCACTTCAGATAAGGAGCCGTACACATGCCGCAGTTTTTGCGTGGCTGTGTCTTTAGTTGAAAGCCCAGTGGCGATCTGTTCATCTGTCACACTGATCATACAGTCAATAACTTTGTTGTTATTAGCATCTGGTTAGCTAGCTATGCTAACGAATATGAGAAGCTTTTTCTACAACCAGTGAGGTAAAGGCACATCTTTATATGATCATTATAGTTATAAAAAAATAAGAGAATAAAGTAAACGGGTATAAAATACTATATGATAGTAAAACAAAGTTGTTATTAATAAACAAAAATACAGTTTGAAAGGAGAGTGATTTGTAAAATATCCATAAAGAAAAAGAAAATCTGCTTCCAGTTCTGTTTCATATGGGTGTTGAGATGTATCCATAGATCTCTTCATGTTGCTCTCAAAGTGCACCAGATTGATGCTTTTAACTTCAACATTTAAAAAAAAATCTTGGGGGAGCATGCCCACGGACCCCGCTAGAGGAGGTTAGGTCCCCCCCCCTTAAATCATGTTCACATGGTTAGGACACTAAATACATTACATTACATTACATTACATGTCATTTGTTAGACGCTTTTATCCAAAGCGACTTACATACATTCAGTACTGTGGACAATCCCCACAGGAGCAATTTGAGGTGAAGTCCTTGCCCAGGGACACAACGAGATGCTGACTGCAGTGGGACTCAAACTTACCCTGATTCGAAGTCCTTTGCATTGAATTTGCACACATCTTGTGTCCATATCTTTCTGTTTTGGTGGTCCTGCCACAACCGTGCACGTGCATGCATGCGCGAGTCATGGTAAGATATCTGGATTGAGAGGTTGCTTTTTCTTTGCACACCATGAAAGAAAGGCCAAATGAATGGGCTGTGATTTTAGTTTTTTTAAGCAGAGGTCAATAATTTGTACGGCCCTCGGAGGATGTTGAAAAAATTGAAATGGCCCTTGAGAGGAAAAAGGTTCCCCACCCCTGATGTAAACAAAGGCATTCAAGATGTTCATACACAAACATTACAAAAGTGACTTCTTCATGATGTCCCCTTTAAACTTGATGAAAGCAATACACTTTACTGAGTCTTTGTGTTAAGCTAAGCTAACTGAGCTTCATATTTAAAGTACAGATATGAGAGTGATATCGATGTTATCATCTAACTTTCAACAAGTAAGCACATAAGTGTTCTCCCTCCTTCCGTTGAAACATCCTCTCTGTTTTTATAACGTGCCGCATTTCCTTTCCACTTAACAAGCTACAGCTTCAATTTGGAAAATAGCTTATTGATTGTCTGAATGCAGGATCAGTAGCTTCAGTGGTGACTGCGGACATACGGCCTTGGAGAAGCCTGCCTTTTTTTGTTTGTTGCTGAACCCACCTCCTCTTTTAATCTGCACCTCATCGATCAGATGGATTTTCTCCCCGTGGCTACAGTTAGCACGTGTCCTGTGCATGCAGCGTTTTATCCTGATTGTGATTTATGTGGCTCACTAAAGGCAGCACTGCTGTATCATCTGTGTTTTATTATGTTTGCAGTGTGCAGGATGTGTGTGTGTGTGTGTGCAGAGGTGGGAAGTAGTGGAGTACAAATACTTCGTTACTGTACTTAAGTATATTATTCTGGTATCAGTACTTTACTCCGCTACTTTTCACTTTGACTTCTCACATGTTGAACTCAAATACCTGTACTTTCTACTTCTTACATGTTGAACACAAATACCTGTACTTTCTACTTCTTACATGTTGAACTCAAATACCTGTACTTTCTACTTCTTACATGTTGAACTCAAATACCTGTACTTTCTACTTCTTACATGTTGAACTCAAATACCTGTACTTTCTACTTCTTACATGTTGAACTCAAATACCTGTACTTTCTACTTCTTACATGTTGAACTCAAATACCTGTACTTTCTACTTCTTACATGTTGAACTCAAATACCTGTACTTTCTACTTCTTACATGTTGAACACAAATACCTGTACTTTCTACTTCTTACATGTTGAACTCAAATACCTGTACTTTCTACTTCTTACATGTTGAACTCAAATACCTGTACTTTCTACTTCTTACATGTTGAACTCAACTCAAATACCTGTACTTTCTACTTCTTACATGTTGAACTCAAATACCTGTACTTTCTACTTCTTACATGTTGAACACAAATACCTGTACTTTCTACTTCTTACATGTTGAACTCAAATACCTGTACTTTCTACTTCTTACATGTTGAACTCAAATACCTGTACTTTCTACTTCTTACATGTTGAACACAAATACCTGTACTTTCTACTTCTTACATGTTGAACTCAAATACCTGTACTTTCTACTTCTTACATGTTGAACACAAATACCTGTACTTTCTACTTCTTACATGTTGAACACAAATACCTGTACTTTCTACTTCTTACATGTTGAACTCAAATACCTGTACTTTCTACTTCTTACATGTTGAACACAAATACCTGTACTTTCTACTTCTTACATGTTGAACTCAAATACCTGTACTTTCTACTTCTTACATGTTGAACACAAATACCTGTACTTTCTACTTCTTACATGTTGAACTCAAATACCTGTACTTTCTACTTCTTACATGTTGAACACAAATACCTGTACTTTCTACTTCTCACATGTTGAACACAAATACCTGTACTTTCTACTTCTTACATGTTGAACTCAAATACCTGTACTTTCTACTTCTTACATGTTGAACACAAATACCTGTACTTTCTACTTCTTACATGTTGAACTCAAATACCTGTACTTTCTACTTCTTACACTTTGAACACAAATACCTGTACTTTCTACTTCTTACATGTTGAACACAAATACCTGTACTTTCTACTTCTTACACTTTGAACACAAATACCTGTACTTTCTACTTCTTACATGTTGAACACAAATACCTGTACTTTCTACTTCTTACATGTTGAACTCAAATACCTGTACTTTCTACTTCTTACATGTTGAACACAAATACCTGTACTTTCTACTTCTTACACTTTCAACACAAATACCTGTACTTTCTACTTCTTACATGTTGAACTCAAATACCTGTACTTTCTACTTCTTACATGTTGAACCCAAATACCTGTACTTTCTACTTCTTACATGTTGAACACAAATACCTGTACTTTCTACTTCTTACATGTTGAACTCAAATACCTGTACTTTCTACTTCTTACATGTTGAACTCAAATACCTGTACTTTCTACTTCTTACATGTTGAACACAAATACCTGTACTTTCTACTTCTTACATGTTGAACACAAATACCTGTACTTTCTACTTCTCTCATGTTGAACTCAAATACCTGTACTTTCTACTTCTTACATGTTGAACACAAATACCTGTACTTTCTACTTCTTACATGTTGAACACAAATACCTGTACTTTCTACTTCTTACATGTTGAACTCAAATACCTGTACTTTCTACTTCTTACATGTTGAACACAAATACCTGTACTTTCTACTTCTTACATGTTGAACTCAAATACCTGTACTTTCTACTTCTTACATGTTGAACACAAATACCTGTACTTTCTACTTCTTACACTTTCAACACAAATACCTGTACTTTCTACTTCTTACATGTTGAACACAAATACCTGTACTTTCTACTTCTTACAGGTTGAACACAAATACCTGTACTTTCTACTTCTTACATGTTGAACTCAAATACCTGTACTTTCTACTTCTTACATGTTGAGACTCAAATACCTGTACTTCTACTTCTTACATGTTGAACTCAAATACCTGTACTTTCTACTTCTTACATGTTGAACTCAAATATCTGTACTTTCTACTTCTCTCATTTTCCAAACAGGCTGGTTCCTTTAGTTTGAATGTGTGTTTGGGTGGCGTGATCATTATTATTTAGAGCAGGGGGTACTCAAATACAAATCTTAAAGGTCCAAAATAAATTGTTTCAATACGACAAAGGTCCGTTATTACGGTCATTCAAACTTTTAAACAATTGCAACAAGATTCTTAACACGAGGTTGCAAAAACAAAAAAATAATCTGTATGCAGCAGTTTTCATTGTTATTGTGTCTGTGCTTGATCCCTCAGAGTCGCAGAGCTGCACAGTTATGAATAAAGGCAGCTGCCCCCTCTTTCATTCAGCATTCCCATGATTGCGTTATAAATGTCTTCCCCCTTGTGTGTCCACTGAGGTTCGTCAGGCCCAACACATCTTCAACAAACTCCCCCTTTGCCTCATCATAACAACTCACAAACACCAGCAACTGAGCATTGTCAGTGGTGTCAGTGGACTCACCCACAGCTAAGGAAATGCACTGTGCATTTTGTATTCCTTCACAAAGCTGATGAATCAAATCACCAGCCAGTATTTATGTTCTTCTGGTTGCTGTGGAATCAGAGAGGGGGAGTTGCTTGATTTGATCTGTTATTTCCTCTTTTTGTTTGCCTTCAACCATGGTCTCCATCACTTCTGTAACGTGTGTGGGTGTGTGTGTGTGTGTGTGTGTGTGTGGTGTGTGTGTGTATGTGGTGTGAGTGTGTGTGTGTGTATGTGGTGTGTGTGGTGTGTGTGTGTGTGTGTGCGTGCGTTGTGTGTTGCAGAGCTGGATGCAGAGGAGTGGTTGTAAGCTTCTGGTGCGTGGGAGTGGCCTCGGCAGCCGTCTGAACGACATCAGCCTGGGGGAGCCGGACCTGTTAGCAGCGGGGGTTGCAGCGGGAGCAGAAATGGTGAGTGCCCCAATTAGTCACATTCAGGGTCAAGCTCTGACTCTCAGGAGAAGTTAGCGGTTGCAGAGCGTTAAAAAAGCAAGTCCTCAGAGGGTTAGGGGAGCAAAACATCCTCCCGTCCAATTAGGCCCGGCTAATAAGGGCCATTTTTTGTCAATATCTGATCCCCAAAGTCCACCTGTTGCAGTCTTTAAAGAGCGCATGTTGGTTTCAACTTTAAAGTATGAGCGTGCGGTGTGTGTGTGTGTGTGTGTGTTGTGTGTGTGTGTGTGTGTGTGTGTGTGTGTGTGTGTGGTGTGTGTGTGTATATGTGTTGGAGCACAGGTCACAGGCTCTGTTCCAGCGCTAATGAGAGCTGCTGTGCATCACTGGCTTCCCTCATAATGAAGCTTGTCACAGAGATGGATGAGATTATGGCTCCAAAAGCCATGTGAAATAAATGTGCTTCATCCCCACATATTCCACTCACAGGAGATGGAAATGGAAAAGAGAGGAGACAACGGGGCGCTGGCTATACACACCGGAGCTCATTCTCTGTGTCATTGTGTAAACTGGGGAGGAAATTGAAAAGGCAACAGCCAAAGAAGAGAAGTTAAAGTTGTAAAGAAGGAAGGCGAAGTAATTGAAAATAATCGGCAGTCATTTCATTTCTCCGCAGCCGAGGAAGTGAAAATTGTATTCTTCAACATAGCCATTTTTTTTTTTTAGATATTAATTAAGTTTTTTGGCGAGCGCACTGGAAGTGTAGCATCACCACTCGACTGAAGTGGTGGTGCTCATGGGAAGAGTTGCAGCAGTGAAATAACCCTGAATGAATCAAGAGGCCCTGCAGCCATGTTTCAATTATCTCCTCAAACTACTACTATATATCTACAACATGATTAAATCAGAGTTCATTTTCCCTGTCCCTAAAAACACGCCGCACTATGCCATTGCCATTTCCTATCTCCGCTTGCAGGACACACGGCTTATTTGAATCATTAAGCTTAATTAGTGAGAACTAATTTAGATTATAGAGCGCTCCCTCTCTGTCTGCCTCCCACAGCTTAATGTGACGGGGCAGATGCAGCGGCTGATCCCAGAGCAGCTCACTTTACGGCGTCAGGTGAACTTAAAATACCTTTTTTAAGCGACTCCACTTTTGACACGTTGGAAAACACCCTCTACCTTCGAGTGAATTGAGTCGAGGCAGACTGTGTATTTATATAGTGCTGCAGGGGTGACACATTTTGGGGTTTCTTCCAATGTTTTTCGTACATTATTTAAAAATAAATAATGTCATCAAACGCTTATTATATGTACACGTTTGTTTCAGCAGAATATACTCTCAATTCTATGACTTTTAAAGCTGCTAAAGCTAATATGCTAGCATGACCGCAGTCACATGACTTCATCTTGACCACTACTAAAGGCGGACATTTCTCAGTGATATTTAAGCCATGCACATTTAAAAGAAAATAGCCCAAGACAGTTCCCCAGCAGCTCCAGTGGATCACAAGTTTGTGAAAGAGAATATTTCAAATGTCACTTTTAATGCTTCAAGCTCAACAAACTAAATATATGAATCTCCATTTTACTGAAATAAAGGCAACCGCTCAAACACGGAGATACAAATAGTTGCATGGCTACTGTAGAGAGGCTACCACTAGAATCCTAGAATTCAGGTTGTCTTTGATTGGTTTATTCTTTTTAACTAATGAGGTTTTTTGAATCTCTCCAGAGCGGTTCAACGTGTACCTCATGCCCACGCCGAACCTGGACATCTACGGGGAGTGCACCATGCAGATCACTCATGAGAACATCTACCTGTGGGACATCCACAACAACCGCCTCAAACTCGTCATGTGGCCGCTCAGCTCGCTGCGGAGATACGGGGCGAGACTCCACCTGGTTCACCTTTGAGTCTGGAAGGTGTGTGTGCGCGCAGATCAGTGTGTGTGTGTGTGTGTGTGTGTGTGTGTGTGTGTGTGTGTGTGGTCTAGCATTAATATACTTGTGGGGACCTAAATCTGTTTACACAGTCACGTGTGGGGACTCGCCTCCCTTATGGGGACAAAATGGAGGTCCCCATGAGGGGAATCATTAATTTTAGGGTGAAGACTTGGTTAGGATTAGGATTAGGATTAGGGTTAGGTTAAGGGTTAGGGTTAGGCATGTGTTGGTTATGGTTAAGGTTAGGATAAGTCTCCAAGAAATGCATGTAAGTCAATGTAATGTCCCCTGAAGTGATGTATACATGGTATGTGTGTGTGTGTGTGTGTGTGTGTGTGTGTGTGTGTGGGTGTGTGTGTGTGTGTGTGTGTGTGTGTGTGTGTGTGTGTGTGTGTGTGTGTGTTGTGTGTGTGGTGGTGTGTGTGTGTGTGTGTGTGTGTGGTGTGGTGTGTGTGTGTGTGTGTGTGTGGGATTGAAATGTTAGCGGCGGGAGGGAAAAACAACGTTGGAAATGTAAAAAACTTCAACAAAGCGCTTTTCGGATATGGAAGCATCCCAGGAAACACATGCCGCAGAGCGCTTCAGGCATTGATGTGACAGGTGCCTCTGTGAGAGTGTGTGTGTGTACTGTTATCTACTCAGGCATGTGTGTGTTTGACTTCAGTTCGGTATTATATCAATGCCCCTCTCTCTGTAAGTGCACGTTCAACCATGCATTTTCTGTAAATCAGCAATTCAAGAGTGAACGCGATCAAAGCATGTGCGTTTATCTCTCTGTGTGTGTGTGTGTGTGTGTGTGTGTGTGTGTGTGTGTGTGTGTGTGTGTGTGTGTGTGTGTGGTGTTCCTGGCGCAGGATGTGTGACACAGGAGAGGGTTTGTTCACGTTCCAGACGCGGGAGGGGGAGATGATCTACCAGCGGGTCCACTCCTCCACGCTGGCCATCGCCCAGCAGCACGAGAGGATGATGGAGGAGATGGAGAAGAGCTCCCAGGTACACTTTAACATTTTCTGCTTTTTGTTTTTCTCGTTTACCGCAGCAGCTCAGGGTTTACTCCAGCTCTGCCAACCTTACAAACAAATGAGAGCAAGGGTCGGCACAAACAAACGCAGGATATTCTACCCAGAGACCCAGAACAAGATATGATTGGTTGCTTTCTTTTCTAACACAACACCACTGAAATGCGTAGCGCATGGTCCGAGAAGGAGAAACAAATCAACGTAACACTGATATTAGAGATCAACAACACAGATACCATTCTCATTTATTCATTTTATATACATTTATTTATATAATTAAATCTATTTTTGTTTTGTTTTATCTGAGTGTTCCAGGGTATTCTCTGAATACCTTGAAGGCCCTGACGGTTCGCCACTGGTAACAATATACATGTCCCCTCTGTGGGACTCATCAAGGTGTTCTGATTCTGACTCTGAGGATACAGGCAATAATAATAATAGTAATAACATTTATATAGCGCCTTTCAAGGGACCCAACGCCGCTTGACACGGTGAACAAACAAACAAAAGGGGCAAATAATAAAGTAAATAATTAAATAAATAGCAGTAGGAGTGGAAGTAGGGGGATGTGATGGGTTAGGGGTCAAAGGCCACGGTGAACAGGTGAGTTGTCAATGCAAACAAAACAGAACTACACGACTTGTGCAATAATCTGACCAAGACTGAACAAGAGTAAATACAATCTGAACTAACGAGGGGATGAAGTTACAGGTGAGCAGGAGGTCAGGTGAAAGTGATCAGACCAGTAATCAAACAGGAAGTGAAAACCGATTGAGAAAACCTCAAAATAAAACTAGGATCATGGCAAATGATTTAACATTTAATATAATCAAGCTTTATATATTATATTCAAGCCTGAAATACCGTTACAGCTATTACCTTAAAGATAAAATCCAGGACAATAAACATACTATGGAGTAGCTTACAAATTATTAGAGCTAC